CTTCTTGTCCTTCCAAAGATAAAGTCTTTTCACATTAACTTTAGCCTTACATAACACTTAGCATGATGAAATGTTAAGTTCCAAGAAGCTGGGATTGAACCCAGGGCCTTGTGCATGCGAGGCAAGCACTCTACCAAATGAGCTGTATCTCCAGCCCAGTACATTTTTGTTTGTTTTACCTCAAGTCTCCTCCCCACTCCCAATTTTTTCTTGATAGCACCCGCACAACACACTACATATTTTACTCATTATGTCACCAGTCATCTCCCATCTACACACTTGTTTCATGATATCAATACTATTTACTTTGGTCACTGCTAAATCCACATCTATATTAGCACCCTGTAGTTTGCAGGTGCTCAGTATTAAATGGTACATTTTTCTGTATGTATCCACTGTGTTTCATTCCTGAAATATATATAAGATCTTTAAGATTTTACTTTCTATTAATATTTTTATTAATTCTATAAGCTAAAAGTCAAGTTAATAATGACAGTGCTAGTACAAACAATTTCTTTCCTGGAAATAACTTATCCTTGCTAGGTAGTGACATAAACCTGTGAATCCCAGTAACTCTGGAGTCTGACGCAGGAGGATCACAAGTTGGAAGCCAGCCCGACACCCTGTCTCAAAGTAAAGTAAGAAAGGGATAGAGATGTAGCTCAGTGGCAGAGGATTCCTGGGTTCAATCCTAAATACCATAAAAAATAAACAAAAAAAAAATACTTGTCCCAACATCTCCAGCATATAGAAAGAGATCTCCATCCAAAGTCACACAACTACCTTAAAAACTGATTATTAAGCTGGTATAACAGGTCATTTTTAAAATAACTGCTTAGAATACTATCTTCAATGCTGCTCAACAATATCCCAGAGTAGGAAGTCTTTTGTATTTATTTAGTAAATCTTCAAGAGCAATCTGGAGACACAAAAGTTCAGATAATTATTTATGTCCCCAATATCTACTTTAACTAGAAAAGCTAAAAAAAATACTGAAAAAAAGTGTTCAATATCACTAAATAAGAACACCTTAATATTTGTATATATTTAATGATACATTTCAAAATAATTTATGCTGAACGAAAGCAGATATATAAGAGCACATATTGTATCATTCCATTAATACAGAGTTCTAGAAAATACAGAACACAAAGTAGTTCAGTGGTTACCTGTGGTTTAGGACATTAGGATGGACTGTGAACAATGAGGAAATGTTCTGCATTTTAATTGTTTATGATGTTATATACTTCTGTCAAAACTCACTGTCCTTACTTTTATGCCATTTTTCCACCTTAAACTGCATAACAGTCAAAGAATATGTACTGTTATGGTAGGGAAAAACAACATTCAGATCCATTCAATGAGAATTTACTTTAGTACCATCTTTTTCAGGAAAACATTTTGGCAAAACCAAGTTACAATGGATGTGCTTTGCAAACTCTTTAAGCCAGCTAACAATTCCAAGAAATGACACTATAAAAATATCATCCCAAGTATACTTTCAAGGATGCTGCTGTACTACTGGATATCTAAAATTTAAAAATAAATAAATAAAATCTCAGTGCAAACCCAACAGAGAATGGTTAAATATTTAACAGTACATGATGTCATGTCACTAAAAAAG